GGCAGGGGGGAGCAGGGGAGCTTGCTTTGCACCCCTGACTCATCTCTCCCCATGCAGGCAGGGGCCGGCCATAATAAAGGTGGGCCGGTTCTTCCCTTCTCCAGTGTAGTCTGAGACAGCAGCTCCCATAGGGACAGGGAGCTGGGACACAGAGCTGGCACTGGAGGAGCAAAACCTGTGGGACCAGGCAGCTGCCCATGGGCTAGTGATGCCCAGCTCCAAGCCCTGTTTCCCTGGGGATCAGGGAGCAAGGCTGGCTCTGCCCAGCTGTGGTGGTGGGGACACTGTATTCGGGGCCTTGTTTGTATTAAATGAATGCAGCAAAACAAGCCTGGCTGTGGCTGCTCTATGTCCCTCCCTGCTGTTGCTGGGTGGGAAGGTTTGGGATGGAGCCTGGCTGGGCAGCAGAGCTGTACTGGCAGCAAGGGTGAGCAGTCGTCTCCACAACCCCTCCTTTTGCTGGGAGGGGAGGGCAGGCAGACCCCCCCTCATGCCCTGGCTGAAGGTCTCTCCCTGCCCTGGAGCCGGGGTGCGAGAGGCCCCTCTTCCAGCCCAGCTGTTGCTCTTCAGTAATCAGAGCTGTTGCCTCTCAGGGCAAGACAACCTTAAAGCGTTTCCAGACTTCCTGGCACCTCAGCAGAAGCCCCTTTAACTCCTTCCTCCCCTCCAGCCCCGGCACTGCAAAGCCCAAGCAGGGCAGGGATGCACAGCCCTCTCCCTCCACGAGAGGGAAGATGGATGAGGCTGTAATGGAGCAAATAACCCAGGAAGGGCTTGTTCTCCCGGATAACTGCACAAGGGACAGCCAGTACAAGGGAGCTTGGGAAAAGGGGCCTTACACAAGAGGGCTGAGAACAGCCTAAGGGCCATGTCCAGCAGCTGAGAAACCTTTGGCAATACTAAAATCCAGGCCAGGGGTGGGACATGGGAGAAAATTAATGTACAATTCTGAAAGCAAATAACTTTGGCTGTTTCCCCCAGTGCAGAGGTGTTTACCAGCGGGCAAAGAAATTAGCACATCTAAGGCAGAGGCAAAACTGAAGGAGTTTAATGTCCTTAAAAGCCAGGGAACAGCTAATCCCTGCCCAGGACTACAGGAGAACTGGAACAGGAAGGCACAGGCCTTGGAGCAAGGATTTACTGCAAATCCATCGAGCTGGGGTGGTACTGGATGGATGGAGAATCCCTAATGTGGTGCCTCTCTGAACGTGGGAGGCAAGGCATGAAGGGGCCCTGGGCAGAGTGTGGGGCTTTACCACAAAGCTCCAAAAACAGAGGAGAAAACAGGGAGGTAAGTGGATAAAGAACAGTGTTGGTTACTGTAGACAGAGCGTGTCAGGATCAGCAGGGAGCTGCCTTCAATAACAGCAAGGGCTTTTGAGACACAGCGAGGCAACAGATCTCTGCCACAGGCACTCAGTTGATTGTGCTGGTGCCCTGTGGACATGGCTGGGGAGAGGGGAGACATGCAGCAAGCCCCCCCAGGCTACAGCCATGCTGGTGCAGAGGAGGCTGTTGGCCCACCAGGGTGGCAGGGGCCTGCTGCCATCACCCTAAGCCCTACTTAGGCAGCTTGTGCAGGTCCCATCTTGACAGGAGGAGGCTGGGCAGGGCTAGCAGTTGTACTAGCTCATTCTGAGCCCTTGGGGGTGGAAAGGGTGCTGGGGGAAGGGGTGTTTCTGCAGCTCTCTCCAGGGCCAGCAGTCTCCCTGTCCCACCCAGCCCTTCTGTGCCAGGGCCCTTAGGAGAGCCTGGTGATGCTCTTTTTTCCCAGCAGTAGGCAGAAGCCCAGCTCAAGCTGTTGCAATCAAACTGCTAAAATTGGGATAATTGCAGCCAGCTCCTGCAGGGAGTGGGACAGGCAGTTTGAAACTTCCCCAGCCTCCAAGATGGGCCAAGACCTACCAGGGTGTTGTAGGCAGCACCTTCTGCAGAACAGGGAGAACAGGGTGAGGGGTGTCAAGACCATGCTGGTAGTGCCCTTCGGTGGAGAAAGACCCAAAGCTCAGGATCTGAGATGCTGCAGGCACTAAGTACTCCCTCGACAGCCTCCCTGCACAGACACATAGGCTGGTCCAAGGGCCACGTGCTGTCCCCAGAGCCTTCACCCTGCCCCAGGGCTTGGCCTGGGGCTGCAAGAGAAGGAGCATGCAAGGCTAACGCTCACCAGGCTTTAATGTCTGTCTGGAGTAGAAGTCAGGCACTTGCAGAGCTCCTGGCCTGCATCTATCCCTCTGGGGGTGCTAGGAACCTTCCAGGAGGTGAAGCCCCAGCATAGGCTCTTGCTGCAGGGCACAGCAGGGAGTGGGGGGGCCTGGCACTACCCCCTCTCCCACCCACCGAGTGAGCAGGTGACTCACAGGATAATCTGGTTCTTGTAGCTGCGGCTCAGCTCCTTGTGAGGAAGGACGATGGAGTTGAGAATAACAACCTCAGCAGGGATGGTGACACTGCATCCTGGGGGCAGAGCATGAGGGGGGTTAGCAGGAGGGGACAGAACCTGCCCCACTGCAAGGGGCTAGGGCAGTGGGATGCCAGTGGGACATACCCAGGATTGTGATGGATGGCGTGAGGCGCCCATCCCGGAAGAGGGTCTCGCTGTCAATCTTAGCATAGGGATCATTTGGGTTGGGGTCACTGGGTGTTCCTTCAACCCGGGCCCAGCGTCCAATGGTGCTGTCCCAGCCCACGATGGTATTGAGGACACAGGTGTGGTCCTGGGGTGAAGGAGAGGGATGAAGGGTGCTGCTGCCTCCCTCCAAGGGCTGGGGATTGACACCCCAACCCTTGGGCAAACCCTACTTACGTGGAGCGAGGCACCGTGCAGGACGATGGACTCGCGCACACGCACGCCAGCTCCCACCGTCACCCCCTCCCCAATGGAGACGTTGGGGCCCAGCTGTGAGGACACAGGGAGGTGATGAGGTCAAGGACAACAGCACGCTCAGCCCCCCCAAGCATCCCCCTTGCCTGAACTCACCACTGCAGTGCTGTCAATGGAGGCTGTGGGGTGGATGTACACATTCCCTGAAAGACACGGCAGGTGTGTCAGGAGAGGCAGCTCACAGGAGTGCCCTCCTCTCAGACCAGGGGAGGTCCTACCCGCGGGTTCCACTGCTTCCCCAGGCAGCCCAGAAGGTGGCAGGGGGTGGCAGAGGTATACCTTGGATGATAGGGCCTCCAGGTTTGTTCTGGGCCAGCCTCTCTGGGTGGCTCTTGCTGTACTGGTTCAGGTAAAGCCGGCTGGCATAGATAGCAGAGCTGGGGGAGAAAAAAACAAAAGATTGTTACTGCCTCTCTGGTGTTACCAGGGCAGAGGAGGCTCCCAACTCAGCACCTCCCCAACCACCCCCAAGGTGCTGTCTGGGCACTCTTCCATCCCAGGTACATATTGGTCAAGGCAACCACTGTGCCAACACTAGTGCCAGTCCTTACCCAGCTGACTTGATCTGGCTCCAGAAACCATCAGTTTTATAGACGTAGAGTTTGCCCCTTCCAGCCAGTGCTGTGAAAACGTCCTGCTCCAGCCGGATCACTTCTGCACGCTGCCAGCCATTGGAGCTCTCCTCTCTGCAAGTGACAGGCCTATTAGACACCCACCCCAGTTACAACCTCAGCCAGGGACCCTAGCAGCTACCCTCTCCAAATCTGGGGGCTCTGGTGATTCTAGACTCATTCCTAGCCATGCATTTCTCCCCAAAGGTGGGGACAGCCCCAACTGTCAGGTTGAGCCCCAGAGCAGCAGAGGGACAAGGCTCTGCCAACTGCCACAAGCTCTCAGCCTGAAGGTGATGGTGCAAGAGCCCCACCCAGTCCAGGTGGGTGGACAAGTGACAGATCCTGCCCCTGCTCCAGAGTCTTGCAGAGCTGACTTTTTGCCTGGGTGGTGGCGGAGATGCCAGGTGACAGGCTGGCTGGCACAAAGAGCAGAGCATTCCCAGGTGAAAGGCCTGCTCAGCTCCTTGTTCAGAGCTGGATGAGGATGGGGTGGTAGGACTGGAAGGGAGAAAGGGAGTCTCAAGCTGGCCAGGAGGGGAGTAGAGGAAAAGGGCAGCCTTGCAGAGCAGCCTGGAGCAGGGAGGAAAGCATGCATTATCCCTAGGGACAATTCAGCCTGGAAAGCAGCCAGTGCAGACACAGAGGAAGACTTACCCAAGGTAAGAATAGCTTGTGCAGGACCAGGAAACAAGTGAGTGATGGCAGAGGAAAGAAGATAGAGAAAGAATGGAGGATGAGCGTGCTGCTGCAGCCCCAGGAAGCAGTGGGGTGGGGAGGGACGAGGGGCAGATAAAAGCACTCACAGCATTAGCTCCTGCTGGTTCCTCTGGAAGACCTCACCAATGTGCTGGAAGATGGCAGGTGTGAACAGGTAGATGCCACAGTTAATGATCTCGCTGACAAACGTGCTGGGCTTCTCCACATAGTGCTGGACCTGGAAGCAAGGGAAGAGACATGAGTCCCAGGGCTCAGCCAGGAAGATGTGCCCACGCTGTGCCCGTCTCCTGGAGATCCCCCAGTACCTCCTGCGTGTCTGCGTTTGCCACGATACAGCCGTAATTCAGCGCCTGTGTCCTGTTGGCCTGCAGAGCAAGGATGTGTTAGCAATGGTGGAGAAGTGGGCACAGTGATGCAGAACAGCCGAGACCCAGAGCTCACACGCAGGGACACATCCACTGCAGGAGCCAGCGGCTCCCAGACAAGCCTATGGCAGAGCAGCACTGCTGCTCTGCTCTCCAGCACTGCCACTCACTGTGGTACCCAGAATGACAAAGCTGTGCGTGTCCCCACGCCGCTGCCAGGACTCCAGCATCTCCTGCAAGGGGAACTCTGAGCACACGTCCGCATTGAGGACAAAGAAGGCCTCAGCACCACCCGACAGGATCTGGTCTCGGAAGTGATAGATGCCACCACCGGTGCCCAGAGCTGCGTACTCCTGGAGATACCTGCAACCCAAGCAGGGCAAAGCAAGGGTTTAGGGAAGTGGGGGTTTGGTGGCATTTCCCAGCAGCAGGGCAGGGAAGGACTGGCAGGGGCTAGAGGGACATAATCCTGCCATGGGGCATCGGCAGAGGGGAAGGAGAAAGTGGCAGCCTGGAGCTGTGCTGAGAGGCATCTCCGGACCAGGGAACAGCCAGGACAGGGTCCGAAGCAAGTGACATCTAGCAGATGTGACATCTGGGAGCTGGGGCTGTCCCCCTGTGCCAGCACCGGGACGCAGGGGCGGGAAGGCTCCTGCCCACCTGATGGGGATCTTGAACTCCTGCTGCGCCGACACCAGGAAGCGGCTGAGAGCTTCGTGGGGCTGGTAGAAGCCCAGCAGCAGGATCTCCCTCATGCCGGGCACCTGGCGGAGGGAGGGAGGGAGGGAAGGGCTGCAGCGGGGAGGGCTCCTCCCAGTTCCCCCCAGCCCCCGCGCTGCCCCCGTACCTTGGCGCAGGCCTCGATGTGATGCTGCACCATGGGCACCCCGGCC